CAATAAACACAGAAGGGAAAGACCACTAAACAATAAAGTGGTTATCGCAGGATGGTGAGTGATTCCTATTCTTTTCTAAACCTCACTCCTCGAAGGCAGGGAGGGAGGGCCGTGGCCCAGTTAGGGTTTAGAAAAGTCTCCTTGGCAGCGTGTATGGGAAGAATGGAGGGGTGAAGCGGGAAGGATGTCGGGGTGGGGGTGTGGCGAGGCAGAAGGCAGCCCTAGCAGGCGAGGCCGGAGGCCTCGGCAGTGAAAAAGGACAGGCTGGAGGCTGGACAGAGGGGGAGGGCAGGGTCAACACCAACAAAAGCACGTTATGTAAGAGACACAGGAGCGGAGCAGAATCCCCAGACGCCTCACCCCAGGGACTGACCCAGACCTTGGCTGAGGGCAGCAGCCCGTGTGGAGCCGGGCACTGCTTCCGGCCAGCCTCGTCTCTCTGCAAAGTCCAGGCAGCAACTTACCTGCCTGGGGGGGTGGCCGAAAGAACACACCTCCATCCCTTCACTCCTGGGACTTAAGAGCCATTTCCCAAATGTGGAGGCGTAGGTTTTTACAAACAATTTGGAAAGAGGCATTCATTGTTTTGCTCCATAAACAAACAAGATACCCATACTGGGTACGCACCAACAGAGAGGGGTGTCAAATGTTTACAGCCTTACCCTGACTGGTGTAACCCAGTGGGTTGGGCATCGTCCCACAAACCGAAATGTTGCCAGTTCGATTCCTGGTCAGGGCACATGCCTGCGTTTCAGGACAGGTCCCTGATTGGGGGTGTGCAAGAGGCAACCAGTTGATGTTTCTCTTACACATCAATGTTTCTCTCCCTCTTTTTCTCCCTCCCTTCCTTGCTCTCTAAAAATAAATAAAATCTTTAAAAAATGTTTACAGAATTTTTAGAGGCTATGTATCAATACATTAAAACAGGACCCAGGAGTTCCATTCTGAGGCCTCCGTGGCACTGGAACCAGGCAAGGGATGTGTGCAAAGAGGTCCAGGCCATGCGGTGATTACTTAGCTAAACATTGGAAACAACCGAAACGTCCAGTAACGGGGGAGAGCCACGCGCACAGAGAGACCTGCCAACAGCAGGACCAGGCAGACGCATAAGTTGTGACACGGAGAGATGTCCACGAAAGTCAAACCACAGGAATATATCATTGGACCTATTTTTAGAAACAGAGCTAACTGAACGTGTACACAGATCTGTACATTTGGAAATAGCAACCAGACAAACTTGAGTGATTTCTTCTGGAAGTGGAATTAAAGGGAGGGAAGATGGAAGGAGCTTCCCGTTTTCTACCTGACACTCCCACACTGTGTGCGCAACGCGCCCTCGCAACCAGAAAACATTCACAGTGGCAGTCGGAGCTGTTGGGGGGAAATGGGCGTGGCTACTAATGGGTAGAGGTTTCTTTCAGGGATGAGAAGAATGTGTTAAAATTGATTGTGGCAATGGTTGTACAACTGTGAATATTCAAAAAAGAAAACAACATTGACTTGTACACTTTCAGTGAATGAATTGTGTGGCTGGTGAATTATGTTTCAGTAAAGCTGCTAATTTAAAAAAGAATTAGCAGGGGAAAAGGTGAGCCTGGCAGGAGAGAAAAATACAGGTACAGGGAGACTTCCTCACCAGCCCTTTCAGGTAATAAACGTTAGGGTACTCTGTGCGTGGGGGGGCGGGGGGGGGCGCGTTCTGCAGCCCCTACAATGTTATTCTGGTCAACAGAATTTCTGGAGCAACAGCTGAATCCTTCAAGGCTGTCCTAGAGGCAGAAGGTCCCCTCCAAGCAATGTCAGGTTTTCCGCCAAAGGCACAGCACCCAGCCCCGATGTGCACATCTTGAGCAACAGTGAGCTCACTCCCTCACCTGCTCTATCTTGGTTTACAGGGCTCAGACCATATGCAAAGAATCCCTCACAGAGCTCCTACACGGGCCACCCAGGCGCTTCCATTCTCTTGTCCTCGCCCCGTCCTCTGGGCCTAATCCCACCTCTCCACATCCTAGTTCCCCGTTGGGTCCCCTATCACCGCCCTCGCGCGCCGGACACCCCACATCCATCTCACCTATATGTCGACATGACGGAACCCAGCCATCAAGGTTTCTGAAAACCCAGTGGGTCCTTAAATCCAGGGACCCTGACCCCAGGGATTGCACAATCTTCAGAGAAATGGGACCTAGGCCACAGCAACAATTGCCCTCTTCAAACTCCAAACAGCAGGCGCTCTCGTCGCCCACCAAAGAATCGGTAACAGAGAGTAAATGACAATCTCTATAACAGCAATTGTTTGCTGAGCACTTACTATGCCCCAAGCACTGGGCTGAGTTCCTTCCCTTTCTTACCTTAGTAAAGCCTTGCACTATTATCCGCATTTTACAGGTAAGAAAACTGAGATTAAGATACTTATTAAAATGGGAATAAGGTCCCTCCAGCTAACACGCTGGAGAGTCCATGGGAGGACCTTGAGCTGGCTGAGTCTCGGGGAGATTTGTGGGAAAACTGTGGGATCGTTTGGCCCTCAGAGCTGGAAGGGACTTCAGCCACCAGGCAGCGCACCTCTTCAGCTCTCAGCGAGAGAAACTGAGGCCCAAAGGGAGCTGCCCGAGGCCGCACAGGCCTCCCGGCTCCCAGGCCAGGCTCTTTCCTCCAGACAAACTCCCGACTGAAAGCAGGAGGAAATCATCCTGCCATCAGCCCCTCTGGGGCCCTGGTGTGAGAACAAGCCCCTGCGTGCCAGAGGCTTTGAAATCCCAGGATGAAAGGCGCCCTGACAGCAAAACAGCAAAACAGCACCGTGGGCAGGAGCACGCCTGACCCCTGCCAGGACTTGCCGGCTGGGCTGGCGCTCACCTGCTCACCTGCTGGGGTGGGCCGGCCAAGCCGCAGAACACCAGCAGGACTCAGGGCTGGAGCGTGGCGGGAAGGGGTGTTCTCCACCCTGGCGTTTCTAGGGGGCAGCGCTGGGTTCCCTGGGCGAAGAGCCTGGCCCCAGGCCGGGAGGGTGCTGGGGTTTTGATTGTCTGGCATGGAAGTGCCCATTGCCCGTTGGGTGGCGTGAGGAGGGTGCAGGATCCCTGGAGGTGGCAAAGGCACACCCTCGCTCCCCTCCAGAGGGATCTCTAAGGCTGCTCACTTCCTTGAGAGGGGGCTGGAGGCCGGCTGGCTTCCTGCCCCTCCAACCTGCCACCCCACACTTCAGGAGCTCCCTCAGGTGAACTCAGACCAGGTATTTGAGGCATTTGAAGGGGGTTATTAATAGCACTGAAGTGCTGAGAAGAGGGAGGCCAGCAGGCTCTGAGTGAGCACAACCCTCTTCCACCCAGCCTGGTATCCACAAAACAAACCCAACCCTGTCCAGAAGAGGACACTTCACCTTTTGTGGTCTCAGCCTCCTCCCCTGTAAGTGGCAGGGGCGGCAGGGGGTGGGGGCTTCTGGCAGTTCTCAGCCCAGAAGGTGGGAGGAGCGGGGAGAGCCCAATTGGGTGTGAGGGAAGGAAAAACCCCACCGAAGAAAGTGAAGCACACCCCACCCAAGCCGGGTGAGGGGCCCCAATAGGAGGTGGTGAATGGATGGACTGTTACAGAGCCCCAGGAGGCTGCCACTGACAGGGAGGGGACAGGAAGGCTCCGCCCTGCCTTCCTCCTCCCAGAGTCCTTGTCCTACAAGCGAGAGTCCCAGGACTTAACCCCCTGCTGATCCGGGGCTGGGGAGGGTCTGACTCATTTCTACATCACCCTCATCCCAGGCCCAGCCCCAGCCCCTGCTACAAAGAGAGAGCTTAGGCCATGGGCTCATAACTGCAGTTCCTGGAAAAGTCTTTCCCAGCACCTTTTGTGCCCAAGAGGGGTGGGACGTGGAGTGAAGGGCAACCTGGTCCCTGTTCTCAAGGAGTACTAGTAGGCAGAACACAGCTGTTAAAACTCTCTACAGAACTGCAGGGCACATCGAGATAAGTGTGAGTGGACACAGTTCTCTGGGCACAGTGGACAGGGAGTGGCAGATACGGTCAAGACAAATGGTCTCTTCTTTCCATGGGCTGCCCCCATACCCCACAGGGGAACAGCAACCTGTGCGTTGGTGCCCCCTCTATGCCAGGGCCTGTCCTAAGCAAGCTGCATTAAACTAGGTCACCTAAGTCTCTCACAAACTTCTAAATAAGGAAGGAATCATTCACATTTAAAAGAAAAAACCGAGCTGCCAGGACCTTAAGAGATTTGTCCAAGATCTCATGGCTGGGAAACAGACCCTGCTTTGGGGTTCCACCTGCACAGCCTCCCCCAGGACGGAGGGGTGAGCCACAGAACTGAGTTTCCCAGGCAGCCTGAGATTCCCACCCTCTCTGCGTTCTCTGGGGCTGGGGAGGAGGAATCCAGGAGTCTGCTGCGGTGGCCAGGTTTCCCTAGGGAGCAGCAGGAGCACCCTGCAAAGCCTGAGCCAAAGGACGGGGTTCTGACCCACCCCTTCTGTGCACCCCATCTATCCCTAGCCCCGGGCCGTCCCAGGCATTGATGGGCTCGTCCCTGGAAGCCTCGGCCACGTGTACTGGGGCTGGGGCTGGGCCCTGGCCCAGGGCGAGCTCGGGACTGGGGACAGTTAGGGAAGAAGGTCAGGACACCCTGGCCCAGCGGGCCTGGAATGCTTCCGGGGAGGGATACCCGAGGTGGAGGGGAGGCTGCGACCCCTCCCACAGCTCGACTCGGTAGTGTTGTGGGGGCTCCGATGGAACCGGCTCCAAGGGGGTTCCATTTGAGGAAGGAAGGGTTCAAGTCCCGGCTGGAGGGGGAAGGGTGAGCTCAGAATAGGTTGGGAAGGGGCGTCCAGACCTGGAGGATACGAGCTTGGACGACGGACTCGGTCCCCAGCCATTCCCGCCCTACCCTGGGGCTGGCTCTCCGAGACCCCAGTCCCAGCGCTAACGGCGGGCTGGGGTGGGGGCGTGGTCCAGGGGATCCCGATTAGACCCCGGCAGCGCGCTGCGCGGCGAGAGACTCACCTGCGATGTGCTGGCGCCGAGCGTCGTCCAGGTGCGTAGACACCACGTCCCCCATGGTGAAGAAGAGCAGCGGCCCGATCCGGCCGCCACCCGCCGCTGCCCGCTCTGCTCAAGCTGACGCCGCAGGCGCCATGGAGCCCGGCCCGCCCTGCTCCCGCCGCTCCCGTCACCCTCGCTGCGGCCTCCACTCCGATCGCGCTCCCGCTCGCGCCGCGTCGTCTAGGGCAGCCTCCGCTCAGCCCGACCGAGCCCCGCCCCGCCCCGCCCCACCAGGCCCCGCCCCGGCGCCGAGCCCCGCCCCCTCCTCGGCCCAGGCGGGCGGGGCTGGGGCCAGGGGACGCCGGGACTGCCGGCGAGACCGAGACAAAGAGCAGATCGGAGGAAGGGAGGCCCGGGAGAGACGCAGAGAGGAGCACTGGACCCAGACCGAACCGAAGAAGGAGATGGGGCTGGTGGGGCATCTGGAAGAATAGGAGGTTCCCTGGGTGTCACTCCCTCCCTTCCCTGCGCGTGGGGAGAACCACACCGAGGTGGAGGTGGGGGACTAGTAGGGGACACTAGGCCGAAGTGCGGGAACTCAGCGTCCGCGCCCCACTCCTCCCGCCCCCTCTTCCCTGCACCACGCCCTCCTGCCCCCAGCCCCGCCCACCGCTGCCCGGCCTCAGGAAGTGCCATAGCCTCGACCCGACCTGCTTCAGGTGTGCCCTCCCGTCTTGCACAATAATGCAGAGAAAGGGGAGGGAGCATGGAGGACTTGGGCTCAAAGGCATTCCCGGTGCCAATGCCGGGAGGACATTCTTCAGGCTCAGCATATGGGTATATTCCCCCGGGAGGCGGCTCGTGGGTCAGGCCAAGTGAGGAATGGAAAAAATAATAGCTATTTACAGTCTGCATAAGACAGATTCAAAACCCACGGACCGGCTTGGACTTAGGGTGCCCGGGGCGTGCGGGGCCGGGGTTGGGTGGATCCTCAGCACCAGAGGAATGGGTTTCAACTCTACCCTCAGGACCTCCCAAGGTAGGATGGACGGGTTGACAGCCATTATTCCCAGATCGCGGGCTGGGGTGGCAGAGGCCTTTCTTGGCTGCTGATACTCAGGCCTCCTGCACAGCACCCCAAGGTCATCCAGTTCCTGCCCCTGACCCCAGTGACTGAGAGCTCACCACTTCTGCATTCATCCCACCCTGTAATTAGACAGCTCTTATTGTAAATGTGACCCAGGCAGAAAATAACGATGATAAAAGCTAACATTACAGAATATGAGAACTCCCACAGAGGGAGGTTTGAAGTTGATTAATGTGATGCAGCCACTCAGTCATGCTTACCGATCATTCAGCAAACAGGTGATAAACACCTGCTTTCTTGGCCCTCTGCAAGATGCTAGAGGTGAAATGAGAGGGAGCCCAAGCTGTCCTACCCACTCTGTGACCCAGGATGAGTGGCATTACTCTGATCCTCAGTTTCCTTATTTGTCCAATGAGAATAATGACACTTTGTTGCGAGGATTAAATGAGATGGCGCAGAGACTAGCGCAGTGCCTGGCACAAAACCAGTCATCTCAACCTGCCATTTGTCACAGTCCCTGCCCTCAAGAACATATCAAAGCCCCAGGAAGGAGCAGAACATTCTGATTTGAGACAAATCCCAGAGGGAGTAGTACCAGAAAGACAAGTTGAAAAACCAGACTTTTGAGAGCAGATACCGGGGGACAGCATTCCAGGGAGCAAGGATGGCGCAGGAGAGGCACAGCCCTCGAAGGGCAGGATGTATTCATGTGGCGGAGTCATCAGGTGGGGTGAAGTCAAGCTGGCAGGGATTGCTAATTCCCTTTTACAGAAACTGAGGCCCCGAGAGGGAAAGTGACTTGCCAATGTCACACAGCAAGGCAGAGGCAGAACCCAGCTGGAGGCCAAGCCTTCTGACAGCCAGTGTCTGGTTTTCCATGAGCAACCAGAGGCAAGTAATCCTACAGGCCTCATTTGGTGTTTCCCACGGCCCAAACTATAGGGACTGGAAAGGCCTGCTCTGCCCCTCGGAGTGGGTAGCTGGAATGGCTGGCATCTGTGCACCCAGGGTGTCTCCTCAGCCAGACTGGAGGCCTGGGCCTTTAGGGGTCGCAGGGAGGGCCGCAAGCAGCCTTTTGCCAGACCTCATGGTGCACCTGGGCCAATGAACCTTGAGCACCCACAAACTCGCCAGCATGCCAGGTCTTCGGCCCAGGAAACCTCCATCTTGGCTTTGGAGACCTTCTGCCAGGTGGAGTGTCACCGCTCTGGGCATCCACGGTGTCATATGTGAGAGGTAAATGAGATTGTGAAAGTGGAATGGCATTAGAAACTGTAGAGTGTTGTACATGCATGTGAATAGCTCCCTGCAGACCTTGGGGCCAGTCCCTTCCAATTCAAGATTCATTCATCTCACACACACACACACACACACACACACACAATGTTATCTAGGAATGGGGTTGAGGGGAAGTGGCCACAAAAAAATCAGGGGAAGACAGGAAGTGGTCTATGCCTTGACTGGAGTAACAGTCATATAGGAGTTAAAACTCAAACTATACAATGAATGGATGCATTTTCTTATATGTAAATAATATTTCAATAAAGTTGATTTAAAAATAAAATATATGGAGCACCTATGTGTGCCAAGCGATATGGGTAGGTAGTGGTGGTGCTACATCAATATACAAGGTAATCAAGGCCTTTGCCCTCGCAGAGGTTGTGTTCTCATGCTGGGAGGAGAAATGCAATAACATGGGCTCTACAGAGTGATAAACATGAAGCTAATAAAGTGAGCGGGTAGAGTAATAGGAGTGGGGCTCCCACCTATGAAGGTGGTCTAGGAAGGCCTCTCTGAGGAGGTGACACTTTGAAGCCTGATTAGCAAGAAGAAGCCTGCTCTGTGAAGACCCAGAAAAAGCTACCATTTATGGAGCATGTACCACACCAGGAATCAGTGCCAAAAGGTGCCTCATCTACAGTTCTCACCATTTTTTTTTAAGGTTTTATTTTTAGAGAGGTGGGAAGGGAGGGAGAAAGAGAGGGAAAGGAACATCGATTGGTTACCTCTCCTATGCTCCCAATCAGGGGCGGGGGGCCCAGACCACAACCCAGGCATGTGCCCTGACCAGGAATCGAACCAGGGACCTTCCAGTTTGCAGGCCAGCGCTCAATCCACTGAGCCACACCAGCCAGGGCTACAGTTCTCACAATTTCTCTTTTGGAAGAATCACCAATTGTGAAGATTGTTAAATGATGATATTCTATTGTATGCACAGAGCAATTCTTATTTAAACACTGGATAGGTAGGCATACAGGGGAGGCATGCCAGATAAAAGTATAGTGTGAGGGAGTCCTTAGGGACCCTGGGGCCAGGCACATCTATAGGGGAGAGAAGAGAGGGGTCCCTGCCTTGGATGGGTAGGACCAATGGGAGGCTCCCAGGGCACCAAAGCGTCTAGGTTTTTTTTTTTTTAACTTTATTCTGCGAAAATTGTAAAGTTCTTTAAAAGTTGTCAGCATCCCACTACTTTATGTTAACAAATCAGGCCAGGCCCTGACTGGCGTTGGCTCAGTGAGTTGGGCGTCGTTCTGCAAACCTAAGTGTCTCAGGTTCAATTCTCGGTGGGGGCACACGCCGGGGTTGTGGGCTGGATCCTGGGTTGGGGGCGTCCAAGAGGCAACCGATTCATGCTTCTCTTCCACATCAATGTTTCTCTCCCTCTCTCTCCCTCCCTTTCCCTCTCTCTAAAAATAAATAAAATCTTTCTTTAAAAGATAAATAAATAATCAGGCCAGTTATGATCATTGAGTGGGGGAAGAATGACTTTTTTAAAGGAAAGAAAAATGAATACAGTCATCAGCACTATATGAGGAAGCAGAAAAAAAGGGTTAAGGATTCCAGGAAGTTACACGTCAGAAGAATTCCTGTACTCTAAAATGGTGAGACTATTTTTTTTTCTTTTTTTCCTGTTCAAAATGCATCCTTTTTATTTTCCTCATAAGGCAGCCATGCGTTATAAACCTTAAGCACATGCCAGTTCACATGATTTCTTCGGTAAGCCCAGAGCTTCCTCAGACTTTCTTGGATCTTATAGCCAGAGTAGATGGAGGAGTCAAACAAAGCTTTCTTCACAAACCCATGTTCCTTTGATGTTTGGGTTACTGAACACAAACTCACTGGATAATTTGTCTTCAACATAATCCATTTCTGTTCTTCAAAGTAGCTGCGCTTTCTTTTCAATGATCGTTCTGACTTCACCTTGAACAACTTCTTCATCAAAATCTCCTTTTTGTCTTTGTGCATAAGAAAGTCCATGCCGGCCTTGCCACCAGTGTGGCTCGGTGAGGCATCGTCGGCAAAGTGAAAGGTCCCCAGCTAGGGACCGGCACATGCAGGAGGCAACCAATGTTTCTCTCTCACTTTCTCCCTCCCTTCCCCTCTCTCTAAAAATAAATAAATAAAATCTTAAAAGAAATGAAAGACCACAGACATAAACTTTCACACCTAGATGTTCAGGTTTATCTTTAAGAAGCTGTTTTATCTTGTTCACTGCAGAAGGTGTCAGGCTGAGAGCCGCTCACAGCCCGGACTTTGGCCTGAACTAACCAAGCCAACATCTGGGCCAGAGCTTGGCTCCCTCAGGCTGTCTCCATGGACAGGCAGGTGCATTCACTTGAGGCCATTTTGAGGTTCAGGTTTTAGTTCTAAGTAATTAAAGCATCTTTTCATGCATTTATTGGCTATTTGTAAGAGTTTTTTAGAAAATTCATATCTTCTGCCTGCTTTTCTGTTGGGATATCTATCTTTTTTTCTTTTCTATTGAGATTTAGGAATACTTTCTAGCCCTAGCCAGGTAGCTCAACTGATTAGTGTGTGGTCCCAATATGCCAAGGTTGTGCGTTCAATCCCTGGTCAGAGCACATACAAGAATCAACCAGTGAATGCATAAATAAGTGGAACAACAAATTAATGTCTCTGTCTCTCTTTCTCTCTCAAAAAAAAATCAATTGAAACTATTTTTTAAAAATAGAGATTTCTGTGCCCCATGTTTAGAAAATTTGTTTCAATAGATCAGAGGCAGAGGCCTAAATCTTAAAAAATAAAATAAAATAAAATTCTTTCTATAGGAAGAATTTCTCAAGTCTGCTCT